TTCAGCAGGTACAACTGTTGAGTGACGCTCAATGGCTGTGTTCTCCAGAAGTTAGCTCTTAATAAGCGCTTTATGCTGATTGGATAGATCTAGAAGAATAGCTCTATTTCAGCACAGATCTGAAAGTATAATCCAATGAACGCAAAGCGCTTAGCAAGCGCTAACTTCTGTTGGACGCAGGCATTGATTTGATGGCCGTAGCCGGCCAATAGAATCGCTCCCGGCTCTGACACAGATTGCAAATCAGCCATGTTGCGCTCTTTGTTTCAGCCGAGACCGGAGTAGGCCGGAGGAGCATATCGACCTTAGCACCGCTGGTCTAGAGTCTATGTACAATCGCTGAATAATCTATGGAGAGACCAGTAGCCAAGGATTTGTGATAACGTTTTATAAACATTTTACACCCGATTAAAATATAACTTCCTTGTGATCTCGCCGAGGCTCTCACGCTGGATCGAGTGCTGGATCAAGTCGAGCGCGAGGCCACGATACGTACGAGACGCGAGAAGGCGAAGCGAAACAACGCGCTCGGCCCGAAAATGGCATTAATTAGGAGAGCCTCTCACGCTGGTAGTTGGTACTCGGACATCGGTAAGAGACACTGCATTTTACTCCCTTTTACTCCATTTCGTCTCGCGCTCGTCGCTCGCTTTTCTAAACATTTTCAATCGCGACCCTTCGATCGCTCGATTCATCAGTTGATTGTATAGAAATCGGTAACGTAATATGAATATCAATTGCACTCTGTCTATTTACCTGTGTAAAAGGCTCGAGCGAAATTGCAACGTAAACTTTGTACTCTCCTCCAATTTCGCCGCGCACGCTGTATCACGTGCACGTGTGTAATTTATGTAATAATGTGTAATACAAATTGTATATTGTCAAAGTCACAACGTGATGTATGACAAAATCGCACGTGCCACAGGTTCGGAATTGAGTAAACAGTTGGAAGGTTGGTTGAGTGCGGCCGACTTGTCCCATGGACCCGCAAGAGCGATCATCGCCCCGTTAGTAATCGTTCAATTCAATATAATGTGCCAAGTCCCTTCGAGATGTGTAAACCGTTAAAAACAACGTTGTGTACAATTTCACAGGCACGCGGGCTACAGCTATTGCGGGGCGTGTGCTGGTTTCGCTTACCGACAAATTAGCCCCGTAGTCGTGTAAGTGTGAATTATGTTATCTTGCCGTTTTATCGATACGTAAGCGTTTTAGTTGCAGTCTGCACAGAGACAACAGTTGTTTGTACATCATCGATTGCAATATGTTGTAACCGTTGCAAGTAGAGGCGTGACATTTTCATGTTACCTTTGTACGCAAGATGCCCTAGGAACGTCTTTAATGTCATTTCTTTACATTCTGGAGTCGCCAACTTCGTTTTAACGCGTTTTTAAAACGCAAAGTGGTATCCAAGTACCGTCAAAAATCGCAATTTTCCTTTTTCTTTTAACGTCAATGTTGTATCATTTGTATCAGAGGGAAAGGGGTTGAAAATTGTTCAAAATCAACTCTGCAGCCGCAAGTAAATATTGTACTTGAGGGATTAATACCTTTTTCTTGTTACTTTGATATCAATAACTTTGCTAAGAGATTGTGAAACGTTGCCATTCAGTTCTTTTTGTTCCGTTTTGGGGCTAAACCAAAGAGATTTATGCCTAAGACTCTTTTTCAAACAGGTTTCTGCTTTTACAGCCTGAAAATAATATGTAATTTCAGTAATTTGCTTTTAATATGTTATGTTTTGTTACATTTTTAACATATTGTACGTTTAGCCTTAATAAATGTCGTAAATTGTACTATCAAAACATTAAGTCGTCAAGCCCTGCCCACCTCTGGCCACGACATTATCAAAACCATTATCAAAATAATGCAAAAATCTGGAAAAACCAAACGCAAAAGATGCCAGAAAGTAACATCAAAATGTCATACCTCTAGTTATGAGTCTATTCAGATATAACAATTGTCAATCGTTCGATCGAGTCAATGTAAATTTTCATCACATAAAGTAGCCTTTATAATATATAGTTTAGTTTGTAATTTTTCAAATTTCTCAGTCAAATGAACCGTGCAACGTGCTGTTATGCAGCCGTAGGATATTTATTCTAGGGCCTTCTCATCATGTGAGATTACCAGGTTGTGCCCTATCTTCGGCTTCCATTTACCGAACACCGTTATACGATCTGCACATTGATCAACAAGGTGCTTATACGTAGATCTCGTTACTGCCCTCCCCTGTACTGTACCGCATTACCATAATGTATTTTCCTGTTAAAAAAAAAATCCTCAACTCGTGGCTGATCCTCCGGTCAAATTCACTAAGACGCACGTGTGTTCGACAGTGAGAAGAGAACTCGAAGAAACTGGTCATTTTGAATGCATGGATCTGAACACAGACGAAGAGGAGCATAGCATTGAAATGCAGTTGCCGTTTATCGCTAAAGTTATGGAAGGGTACGTCTAGATCGGATCGTCAGTTCCCACCTATATAATCTCGGAAATCGTAGTATATTTACTATGCGCGAATGATAATGGAAAATGGCTACTTGATTGCGTGTTTCACACATGTACAGATTCAAGGACTCGTTTACCATAATCCCAATTTTGGTGGGATCTTTGAGTCCGGAAAGAGAGGCGCTTTACGGGAGACTGTTAGCACCCTATATGGCTGATCCGCAAACATTGTTCGTCATTTCTTCAGATTTCTGTCACTGGGGACAACGTTTTCGCTATACTTACTACGATAGATCGTGTGGGCCTATACACAGATCTATCCAAAATCTCGATAAAATGGTATGCTCTTGAATCTTTGTGTGAGAACATGGTGGACATATTCTATCCGTCTTATCCGTTTGTGTATTGGTTTATTAAATTAGGGCATGGACATTATAGAGACTTTAAATCCCCCAATGTTCACCGAATATCTTAAGAAATATGGTAATACTATATGCGGCCGGCATCCAATTGGCGTTTTATTGCAGGTAATACGAGAACATTTCAAAGGCGCATTAGACAAACGTTATAGAGTCCAATTCTCTTGGATAAGAATAATGTTGTATTTTATCTTTACAGGCAATTCACAGTCTTAAAGGAAATACGAATGGTCAAAGGATGAATCTGAAATTTTTGAAATATGCTCAAAGTAGTCAATGTAACAATATGAATGACAGTTCTGTCAGTTATGCTAGTGCTTCCTTAGTTCTCGAGTGATAAAACTACAAATATATGATTCAAGTATATGGTCATTGGCCAGTCTGAGTGTAAACACTTTCTTAAAGTGGAACGATGTTTAATAACAGTAATACGTGACAGTAAAGTTCTATAAATTATTAAGCAAGATTAGGCTGAACGTTGAGATTTTATAATGCAAAGGGAAATAACTCAATTTAACCGCTGCAACTTTTAATATTATTTCCACTATTGGCGCGGCAGGTGCTAGGGCGAATTCTTTCTTCTGTTGATTCTTGCGCTACAATACAATAACAGATAGAGATGTACCATTACCGAAATACCATACCTTTTGCATAAATGCATTTCGGTTTATTACTTACAAGAGATATTCAGTACTTCCAGATTTCAATATGGGAAGGAGCTTAAATATTTCTTTGCTTTGATTCTCAATAAAACTATTTTAGAATTAATAGCAAAGTATGTTTCATGTGCACTTTCAAGAAAGCAGATTTCAAACTATTGGCAAAGAAGAGAATATCATTGACATTATCAAGTAACATTCAAATTTACAATATATTTAAATTGTTAACTTGTGTATCTAAATTTATATTTTTTATGTTTGTGTTCAAAATTGTATAATTTTTTATGCTTTTAGGTTGGCATAGATTAATATAAACTCGAATTAAATACGAAAATATATGCTGTGATAAAGGTAATACTCGTATCTTGAACATTTTATACGTATGTATATAATGAATGTCTAAAATGACGCGTATTACCTTTATTTATATATATATAAAAAAGTAAAAATAGTATTTGTTTTTGTATTTCATACAGAAGAGTAAGGCTACCAAATAAAGATTACTTGTGTTATTTCCAGTGTCTTACTGTGATTTGAATTAAATTAAATTGAAATTAAATGCACTATTAGACTCGTCATTATCATGTAACATCTCTTCTGTGCCCCTAGTATGAACAATCTGTATTGTAATCAATATATCAATACGAGAATTTTGGACTTAGAATTTAAAACACATGTTACACGTATATATATATGGTTTCCTTTTTCTTTCTTTTCATACAAAGCAATGGAACGATCTCATATCCTTCCTATTCTATAATCTATTGTTACCTAAGCATAGAGGGGAGGGAGGGGAAGTAAACCGAATAAGCTAAATATTATATTACTGTAACACGATGTAAGTTTGAAAAGGGGTCAGTCTATATAACCTACATATATACATAATTTTAATTTAACATTTCTTTTTCTTTATATATATATACGTACATATACGTATGTACGTATATATTATAAACTTGTGCATCAAATATGATATATTTCTCGAGAGTATAAGTAATATTGAATCCTATCTCGCTAAAACATTAATTAAAACGAATGGTACACGTACTGCTACAGATTCATTTCGCAGTAAGACGACTCGTTTGTGACAAAAATGTGCGAAATCGTACAGCTGATCCTGCACGTGTTGCTTTTTCTATCTTTATATACCGAGGTAATAAGGTTTATATTTGTATGAAAAAAATATATATAATCCATACATATATATTTCATAGACGTGTAATAAAATTATGTGAAGAAAAATATACAAAGTTTCTGTACACAACTTGCAATCTATATATCTCTGTATACAATTACGGCAAATCTCATCTCGTTCATTTCAATATATATATATGTTCATGTATATATATATTTCTTTTAACAGTTTCGTAAACTTTCTTCTTTTCTTATAATCCCTGTATTAACGATATAGAAAGATTTGCGATAATTGAATACAATATCACCTCTTGTTTCTTCAGTCTTAGATGTTTTGGTTACTGTTAAATATTTAACATGTTACATCTAGACAAATACTGTACTGTTGATCCAATCCCATATAGCAGTCAGAAATTAGGTAGAACGTTAACTTTGTCGGCCCTAAAATAAATCAAATGCCAATTTTTATTTCAAGAAAACTCGTGGAGATACGAGACGCGTTGATTACAAACAAGTAATAGGTTTACCCAGCTTGTCAGGTGTAGTAAATTGCAATTGATGATATTTCTGCTGACTATTTATACCAGACACCCTTTTTAGAGCCCATAATTCTCTATTTTGAATATCGCCTACTAGCAAGAACCAACTTTCGTCCTTTCCTTTCAAAAACATTGGACAGTGGGCTTTTAAAGTTTTAGAATAGTTCGTTCTTTTCAAGCCAATAGTTAATGTATATTCTTCATTTCGTCGAACAGCTACGGAATCGTCGCCATCCAGCTCCAACGTTGTTCTCGTCTCAACGTTCCAAGAACTCTCCAATGTTAAATCAACAGATATTATCGGCATGTTTTTAATTACTTGATGTATCTAGAAAATGAACGTTTTGATTGTTTTTTAATATAAATTCAACGTCTCTTATAAACGTATAGATAACGAATGTTAGCGAGTTCCAGTTCTCTATTACCTCCTTTATTTGGTCTATTCGATATTCTGCTCTACGCAAAATCTTTGCGAGTTTGTTGTAATTGTCACATGTAATAGAACACAACATTGGAAGAGCCATCGATAACGATGAAAACAAGTGCAAATCTTCCTTCCTTATATGCGGTAACGTTGTAATTGCAGATTCATCGATCCATCGTGCTTGCACGATCATTTGAAGCAGTTGCATTATCCTTAATGTACTCGTTAGCCATCCACGTTCCGCGACTGTGTCGATCATTGCCTAAAACATCTCTCCTGTCAGTTTATCGCGTTACAATAAGAAAATTATAATGAAAATAAATAATACGTATAAGAGGCCTCCTATATCTTACGATTAGTTAGTTCGATTAGAGATCGAATTTACGTATTTACTTATTTATTATACCTGTATTATTCGAATTGCTTGATCGAGCACTGATTTCAGATCGGTGATATAATCGGTGCAAGGTAATGGCAGTCTTGAGAAATGCGCTTGCAGCAAGAGAGACGCTTTTGTATGCGGAGAATCATATTGATTCACGGAGTGACGACACAGTTTCGCTAGTTCCCTATCAAACATTCGAGCGTGTAGAAAACAATGAGAAAGAAGCGGGCAAGACTTGACGAGACTTACTCATTTAACAGATCCTCGTTATGTCGCACAGGTAACTCGTTGTACTCGTGCGAATCGCAGAGCACACGCAAGCACTGATCCAACGTCAAGTTCTCCCTGAGCGATTGTGTAAACATAAACATCGTGTTGTGCGACAGATAATAGAATGACGCTATCTTACCCATCGGCAACGAAACTAGAGTCTGCTCGTCCTAATAAAAAACAATAAAAGTTATAGTCATACCAAAGCGTCACTTGCCACGTCTATCGCAAGCTATTACACGTGCTACTCTGCACTGGACTTATGATCGCATCGTAGTACCTCGTCGTAATCGACACAATGTGAATCCATTAACGACTTCACGGTGGTCTCCACCAATCTCGAGAGATACTCGTTGATAAAGCAAGGCTCCAAGACGTCGAGATCGTAATATTTTGGATTTTTCATCAATCTTCGAAAATAATACGTCCACGTTAAGTAATCGAGAAACTCTTGTTTGTTCTTGATGGTGCCAGCAACGATCTCGGCATTGATATGCTCGGGTAATACAGCCATCAAGCTCGATTCCACGGGGAACGGTTCGTATAAAAATTTCTTGTAAAAGTTCTTCTTCAAATCGTGCACCAGCACGACCGCTACACCGGAATTATCGAACTGCGGTCTGCCGGCGCGACCCATCATTTGAAGAACGTCTGTTATCGGCATATCTACGTAACGTTTCAGCTTACCGTCGTAATATTCCGTGCCCTTAATCACTACTAGATGAGCGGGGAAATTGACACCCCAGGCCAAGGTGGCCGTAGTGATTAGTACCTATTCGTAAGATCGTAAATCGATTAATGCAATGTCATTCGTGTAACGTGTAACGTTGATTACGCAGTGTGTACCTGTATCTTATTATTGACAAACAGCTCCTCGACGGTTCTCCTGTCTCTCTCTTGAAGACCGGCGTGATGCAGGCCAATTCCAAAAGCGAGCGTGAGCTTTAGGTTCGAGTCATTGATATTGTCGAGAATGCCGTTCATCTCTTCCTCCGGCATGTGTAGCCACTGCTTGGGATTGTCCTCGGCCGCGAGATAGGCGATGAGATCTAGGGCGGTCAAGCGCGTCTGCCTGCGAGAGGATACAAATACGAGAGAGGGACTGCTGGGCGCGTGTTGTCTAATCGCCTGGAAGGTTGGTCTGTTCATGGTCGCCATCCGGGGGCAATAGTGCTTGCCAGGAAATCCGCTGATGTGGACCTCGAGCGGCACGGGTCTGACGGACGGCCGGAAATTGTAGAGACCCATCTCTTTGATACCGAGCCAATTGGCCAGGTCCTGCGCGTTGGCCAGCGCGGTCGAAAGCCCGACGACTCTGACCTTGTTGTGCGTGTGCGAGGATATGAAATTGGTACGGGAGACTATGACCTCGAGCACCGGCCCGCGGTCCTCGCCCAACAGGTGAATCTCGTCGATCACTATGAGCGCCACTTTCTTCACGTAGCTTCGCGTCTGCCAGCTCCGACTAATACCATCCCACTTCTCGGGCGTCGTGACGATCACGCTCGCGCCGGCAATCATCTTTATGTCAGGCGACACGTCTCCGGTGAGCTCCACCACCCTCTTACCCAGCCGCTCCTCCAGTCGTATCTTCCAGTCATTCATGCGCTCCCTCACCAGAGCTTTCAGGGGCGCTATGTAAACGACCTTCCAATCGTTCGGATGCTGCTTGAAAACGCGAAACATGGCGACCTCCGCCGCGATAGTTTTCCCCGAGCCGGTCGGAGCGCCGAGGAGAACATTGTTGTCCGTGTGATAGAGACAGTGGAAGATCTGCGACTGTATCGGGTTGAAGTGGGAGAAATTGTACAGGCTCTCCAGCTCCGGATCGTGGAGAGCGGTGATCGGCAACGGCTGCAATTTCTGAAGATTGGTGTGCGGAGGATGGGTCTCCGGGAGAATGAGATCGCGGAAGGTCAACGGAAACGTGGTCTCGCAGCCGAGCCAACGGTCGCTCGTGACTTTCACCAGATATTGCGTCGGCAACGACTCGTCGGACAACGGTATGGTGACGACGAGCTCTTGCTCGAGATGCTGACAGACCGCCCTCTTGCTCAGTATGAAATACTCGTGATGATAGATAAAGTTGTGTTCCGGATCCTCGATCCATATCCAGAAGGCCTGCGACGTCTTCCCGTGAACCTTGTCGTCCCAGCGGAATCGCGGGATCAGTTTCAGGCGTATCCTCAGGATGGTGCGCGTAATAGGCTGCAAGCTGTATTCGACGTCCAGCTCGGGCAACTGCTCGCAACACTTCTTCACCAGCGTCGCCGCTCGCTGGTCCCGCAAAATATTGCCAATCTCCCTCACGTCCATCTCCCGCAAGCGATAGACCTCGAGGTTCCGCGCCTCGATCTTGTCGATCACCTCCATGTAGAGGCAATCGAATTGGCGCAGCGGCGTCAGGAAGCTCCACTGTTGCGCCTCGAACATCTTAGCCATATGCAGCAGCCGTCCGGCCATTATCGCGTCGTTATGCCTGAGCATGATCTCGAAGAGCGCCCGGGCTATCCGCACGGCGTTCTGCGTCACGTACGCTTGGTCGGATATCAACGAGGCCGTGTTCACCCGACCCCTCGACAGATAGGTCTGCAGCAATATATTGACCTTACCGTGGACATTCTCCACGCCGCCCAGCGGCTCGAGTTCGCAGTCTCGCATCAGCTCGTCCAGCTCGTTCATCTCGTCGTCTCGTACCTTGAGCTGCTCGAATTCCTGGGCGCGCGATATCATCGCCAGGATCTCCGTCTCGGTCATTACGGGCTTCTGGAGCTCGTTGAAGGTCTCGACCGTGTCGTACTTGAGGTAATAGTGGCTCGCGATACGTCCCAAATCGGTCGCGTTAAGATCACCGGTGCGCGCGTCGTATCTGATCATCCGCGCCTTGTCCAGCGCCCTGGCGGCGACGTCCACCAGCTCCTTGCGCTTCCTCTCGAGGTTCGGATCGTTGACGAGATCCTGATAGAGCATGCCGTAGGCCTGAAAGTTGAGTTTCATACGTACAAAGAGGTAGGTGTAGCTCAACCACTCGACCGCCTCCGCCACGTTCGATATTGTGCCCAGGGCTATCTCGGCATTGAGATTGTCGGCCAGATACGTGATGAAGCTGCTCTCGATCGGTATCTGATTCGTCAGCAGCGACAGGTAGTGAGAGAGCTTGCTGTGCGACGTGATTATCACCGCGTGTCCCGACTTGTCGAATTGCGGCCTGCCGGCGCGACCGAAGATCTGCAGGACGTCCAGGATGCCTAGGTCGACGAACGAGCCGTGCTTCGAATCGTAGATCTCGGTCCCGCGTATGATGACCGCGTGCGCGGGAAGGTTCACGCCCCACGCCAGCGTGGAGGTGCACACCAGCACTTTGATCAGACCGTCGGCGAAGTACTTCTCGACCAGATTCCGGTCGGAGCGCAGCAAGCCGGCGTGATGCACCGACAGCCCACTTTCGAATAAGTCGCCGAGGTACTTGTTGCGCGACTTTGCGAACGCCTTGCTCGCGTGCTTCGCCTGCGCGTCGGATACAAAGTACTTGAGCGTGTCGTTTCGCGAGGCGAGGTCCCGCAGGGTGTTGGCGGTCCTCACGGTGGCGTTCCGCGCGTGCACAAACACCATGACCTGGTGGCCCTGTCGCACCATCTCCACGACCTTGTTGTAACACACCAAGTCCATGTCGGCCATCTGTTGCATCGGCTTGACGGCCTTGACGCCGATGAAGGTCTGACTGAGGGGCACCGGCCGGAAGCGGTGATCGAAGTAGAATAATCCCTTGTTCGGGTTGACGCGCAAAAATCGCGCGACGTCCAAGTAATTCGGGAGCGTCGCGGACAGCCCGACTATCCTGATCATGCTCTGCGACGATTCCACTTGACGCAGGGTTCTCGCGACCAGCGCCTCCACCACGGGTCCTCTGTCTCCGTGCAGCAAGTGCACCTCGTCAATGATGAGCAGTCTGACGATACTCGTGAGGGAGATGTCGCCGGTACCCTTCCTCGTCACGACATCCCACTTCTCTGGCGTGGTCACTATCATCTGAGTCTGCTGGATCTCTTGTTTCGTCAGCTGCATGTCGCCGGTCAGCTCGCGGACGCACACGCCCAGAGGGCTGAGTCTCTTGTGAAAGTTCCTGGTCATTTCCGCCGCCAGGGCCTTCATGGGCGCGACGTAGATTATCTTGAACTGACTCGTATCCAACTGGCCGTCTCGAATGTTCTGCTTCAATTGATGCACCACAGTGAGCATCGCCACGTTCGTCTTGCCCGCCCCGGTCGGCGCGCAAATGAGTAGGTTCTCGTTCGTATTGTACGCCGCGTTGAAAACTATACTCTGAATCGTATTCAACGACGTTACGCCACTGAAGGCCAGTTGACCGATGTCGTCCAAGGAGGACGTCAACACGGCGTCCACGTCGACGTCAATGGACTCTTGCTTCGATATCGGTATGTGTACTTGTTCCGCGAGCTCGCTGTCCTCCCTTCTGACATCTTCGGCCAACAGTAACTTCTGCCCCGATACAATGCTCGCTTGTTTGGCGCTCGCATTAGAATCAAACACAAATGGGAAATTCTCCTGCGCTCCCCTCTCCAGAGCGTTCCTCTTGGGAAATAGAGGGGTACAGGTGGCTCTAAATGCCTCTCGCTTCATAATCTGCAGCTCGGTCAAATCAAATTCCTCCTCCTCGTCTTCCAACTTGGCGTCTCGCTTGTTCGCCACCTTGTTCAGCCTCTTCTCCTCCTTACGCACTTGCTTGTACAATTGCTTTTCCGTTGCGGATTGTACGGTTACCTGACCGCTTATTATAGGCCCCTGCATAGCTGGCTGTGGTTTCTTGGCCACTTTTTGGCACGGATACGTCGATACGATGGTCTTTGCGTGCTCGATAATGTATTCGATAAATTCCAACTGTTCGCAACTCAACATGTCAACCAGTTCCATTTGTATATTTTCGGACTTCTTTTTTAATGTATCTACTATTGCTGACACAAACTCTTGATACGACAATCCCTTGCTACCCTCTTTGAGGCAATCGCGTACTCCTTTTGTGAACGTTGCTTTGTCAAACTACAAGATTAAGAGATCAAACAAGTTTGGAGGAAAAGTTTTTCTCCTTGAAATATTCCGAGAGTCGGCGAGATACTCACTACAGATTTCTTCTGTACTAAGGGTTTCGTCGCGTGTATCGCCATCGTAAAGTTATCAGTACTCAAGCTCGTTTTTCCCGTGACCATATTGTGAAGCAGAAAGGTATCGGGCCATATGGCTCTAGCTCGATTATAAGGAATGTCTGCGCCGAAGACTCGTGAATCTGGAGCATTCTCTTTGGATTCCGATAACAATTCTACAGCTTCTTCGTAGCATTCCTTCTGAATTTTAGTGACTATCTACACATATGGAAACGTAAGAAAATAAATGGTAATATAATACCGTGCGTCGAGCGACAAGAATTAGAATTACAGAGTAGAATACACCGTGTCATGTACCTGCATCATAGATTCTGCACATTGATACGTTAAACTTCCCACCTTCTGGCCAAGCATATTATATTTCTTTCGTGACAAATTTTTGTCTTCAATCAACAAACGCAACACATACACCGTAAATTCGTCAATAACATCTGGGCAGTCGTTTGCTGGAGAGAAAAATTGGCATTTTTTAAATCACATGTCGTTTAGGGTTCAAGCTTTAGCGCATTAGCGTTTTAGAAATATTTCCATTCATGAGGCACGTAGGGGAAAAAACTAAAAACACTTTTACTATGCAAATCCAACCCAAGCTTTCGATTGGGCGCGCTTAGAAGTTCATCGGATCAACCGTTGTTGAGATCCACAAAATCTCAGGGCCTGACAAACGAAATACGAATTATTTGCTACTCACCAAAAGCTTTTTGCACAACATTTCTCAACGCTTGTAGATGTGCCAGAAGACTCTTGGATGCACCTTTGCATACATTGTGCCAATCAAGACTGCTTGCAACATACGTAAATGCGTAAAGTTATATCGAGATTCAATGTTACCTTCAACATCCGTTTACCTCTGCAACTGCTTCGTCCGCTCCTGCCTCTTTCTCGCCAAGTCGTTCGGCTCGAAGTCAAGTATTTCCCTGCGCTCCAGAGACGTAAACATCCGCAGAGATCTAGTGATACGTGGTAATTTCGACATCGTGTATTACCTGTCGATCAAATCCGACGTCAGTGGCACATTACATCTTACGTGAAATATAGCTTTTTGCGGATCATTTGCCGATACACTTTGAAACGGATACGAATCAAGATGTAACATAAGGTGCGTTCGGGGAGCGCGCTTTCAGCGCTAAAAGCGTCTTCTATCTTTGTTCGACGTACAGTGAGTGACGAAGATAGACTGACGTTTTCAGCGCTAATAGCGTCTCCCCGAACGCAGCCATAGTGAGGACTTTGCAGCGGCCAACGGGAATAATCATAAATATTGGTATCGACAGCGATTGTTACACAATTGCGAGAAAGCGTCGGGGTGTTTCGAGGACCGAAACTGAAAGTAAACGCGAGTCGTAACCGCGATTTCACGCTTGGCGGCAACGGCGACGAACGTGTCCCACCTGGGAAGCGTCCGCTTTCGCAAAGAACGAGATACATACCGGAAAGTAGCTTTGCTAACTGGAACTGACTGAAATTACGCGAGAAAGCGTGACGATCTATCGAAATCGCGAGTGAAACGACGCGGAGGGGCCCGTTCCTCGCCACGTGACAGTCGCGTATCCGCGATAGCGCGACAACTCCTCCCCCGAATTCCCCGAACGCTCCGATCGCATCTTCGCGACTGTCACGCGTTTCAACGGCTCCCGAGTCTGCCATGTTTATTCCTCTAGTCGTTTATTTTCTCCAGTCACATATTTCTCCAGCGTGTGCACGAGATAGAGATATTCCACCCTACGATGTTTCGCGCGACGACACTGACTCGGCCATGGGTGTAGGAATAACTGGAGAGAGCGTGAGGTGCTTTCGCGGGCGAGAGGGTCGAAGCCAGAGAAGTGAGGGGAAAATTGATCGGCAGCCATCTTGGTTGGCAATTTTCGTCCCACGTCTCCGGCTTCACTACCC